ACCGATGGGAGGAGAGGCCTTTGGTCCTGTGAAGGCTCGATGCCCCATTGTAGGGGAATGCTAAGATAGGGAAGTGGGAGTGGGTGGGTGGGGGAGCATCCTCATAGAAGCAGGGGGCGGAGTGCATATTTATATTATTGCATTTATAAGAAGTATGAAAATGAAAGAAACATTTACAAAACCAAGATTAGTGCTTGCTTAGTACATGGGTTCAGAATAGACATTGACTGAAAACAGCATTATAATAGTTTTGAGACTATAAAAATGTTTACTATGCATGAGTGCACATGTGTGCCTCTGTGTGAGGGTAGGCAGACATTTGTGGATGGAGGTCTGGGGAAGCCGGAAGAGGTTGAAGGGACACTTGAGCTATAGATTCCAGGCATTTGGAAGCTGCCCATGGTGGATGTTGGGATCTGACTTCCAGTCCAGTGAGCAATAGTCACTCTTAACCAACGAGTCATCTATCTCTCTATGACCAAGATCGTGAAATTGTTCTAAACCTGGATTTTGGCAATGGTTTACAAGGACAATAAATTGTTGAATTTCAGAAGGTAGTTTTTGTAAATGTAAGGCCAGAGGGAAAACCAGGGGCCCTGCAAAGCATGGCAAAGTGTACACGGAGTCATGATGGAGTTTCACAAAGTTCTAATACTCTAACTTCCTCTGATGACGCTTCTCCATTACTTTGAAATTTCACGTGCTATTATGCGGAAACTGAACAATGGAGGAGCAAGAATGGAAATGGGGACACTGCTAGGAGGTTCTCAGATGAATAAGACAAGAAACTCAGGAAAACAGCAAAAGCTCATAAGAGATACTGAATGTAGCCTCGAGAAAATAGAATTACTACCATTTAGCTCAATAAATGGAATAAGAGGACCAAAGGATAAACAGTGCCAAATTTTCCCATCTCTGGATATAGTCATACAGGGAAAAAAAATCAAATAGATACCTCCCAGAGAGGAGGCTAAGTAAGCACATAGCTTCAGAGTCGCCAGGTTCCGTGGTTTCCAAGAGATGAACTTGGGATAAACAAGAAAATTGAATGATTTTTAATCATGCGGCAGTCAGACTGGTATTCAACATGTTATTTACATTTTAAGAACCTTTAAAAAGAAAAAACTCCAAGCATTTTGTGTTTGTTTGTCCTAAAGAAGCCATCATCAAAAAATCCGGGGATCTGTGTATAGTTAGCAGTCGCGTACTTGAGTGGTGCACGCATGTCTGCTGCTGGTGCAGACGTATGGAGCCGTTGACTGAGCCAATAATAATGGGGAAACGGAACAGAGGCATGGCTGATGAGAGACGCCAGCTTTCTCTGCCGGCACAGGCCCTGAGCAGTCTTGATATTTCTGCATGTATTTGAGTCTGCTGCTTGTTTTAATTATCTTCTTCCAATTCCAAGTGACGCATGATATCAAGCATGACCAAGAATGGAAATATTTCTTGGTGGAATTTTTTTAAATCTTGATTGCTACAAGGAAAAGGTCCTTTAAAAAAAATAGCATCTTTCCAAGAGCAGAACAGATTCCTGTAACTAAGGCCATTCCCGAAATGGAAGAGGATTAAAGTTGGGATGTGTTTGACCCATTGCTGCTAGTCACGATGGTGCACCCCAAAACGACTCAGAGGGAAAGTACCACCAGAAAACAGGAAATGAACCTAGTACAGCAGCAAGGGGGGACACCAGGAGGCTTTTTTATGCCTTGGTTTTTGAGAGGAAAGAGCTGTTTATTCAAAACGCTGCTTCAGGGGACAGGAAGACAATGAGGAGAACAGCGACCTAGTGACCTCCTGGAATTGCCTGCGGTAGCTCAGCCTTCCTGCCTGGTGTGCAGGAAGCCAGCCATGCAGACTCCAAATGTCCAGTCCTAGTCAGAAGAGGTGACAGGGCAGACCTCAAGAGCTGCAAAAGCCATGAGAATGCTATTAACCACATTCAAAGTTCAGTACACTGCTTCCTCCCCAAGCATCAGGACTCCAGACAGAAGCTCTGAAGCTAAGGGGTCAGCGCCGCTGCTTCTAGGGTTGGAGGCAAAGGACTTGTTCTTTCTCCCAAGACAGTGGATGACAGTGGGTGGTCAGCTTTGGCTGGGAGTCCTGGCTTAGCAGGAAATCCTTGTTTCTTCTGGGCCACTAAGTCACTGTGTCTTGGATTTGCAAGCTCGATGGGGATCGTTCCGTCTCTGAGTCCATCATGCTAACTTTGCATTAAGGTGGCCTTGACTAGTCCATGATGTTAAGTTGACATTACAACCTCTGTCAACTGTGCTATCCCACACCATGCTGACGAGCCCTATGACCAGGGAAATATCTGCGTACTCATGAGCTGTCCTGACATTAGCATAGTAAGACGTCAAGTTGCTGTCAATAGTACATAGGTGTCTTTGGGTTGTTTCTGTGATTGAAATTCATTTTCTCTTGCTCACAAGCAGTCACTTTTGATACCCACGATGGCATCTTCCCAGGACATGGTGTGGTATGTGAGACAAACTGTCTGGGAAATGAAGACATATCTTAAACCTCCTGCCTTAAACTAGCAAAAACACAAACTTCAAAGGACATCAAATTCATTCATGAAATAATTGCTTTCTCTGCCTGAAGGGATATCACTCTTTGTGTGTGTGTGTTTTCTGTGTATGTACTTGTGTATGTGTACACGTTATATGTACATGTATGTATTTGCAGTGACTAGATGTAAACATTGTCTTCCTAAATCAATCATTGACTTGCTTTTAGAGACATGCTTTCTCATTGAGCCCATAGCTCACTGGGTTGGCTTCACTGACTAACACATGACCTCCAGGATTCCTAATGTCTCCTCTCTACTGAGATCAAGGACTGAGACTGAGACACATACTATTGCTCATGGCTTTTCTGTTTGTTGTTAACATAGATTCTGGGAGTTCTGAGCCATTGCCCTAGCTCCGAAGTGACCTAACATTAAACTGAATTAAGTGTCCTAGGACTTCTTGACTTCAGGCTCTGGAGTATACAAATTAGTGTCCCTACTATTAGAGTTGAGTGTCACCACATTCCTTCACTTCACCTGGGATGACATCATGAGTAATTCTCACAAGAGACTGCAGAAATCCAGAAACTCAGCATCAGTTCCTGCCCCAGCAGCCTACAACACCCTATCGCTGAAAGAATCTCGATCACCTTATGCTATCTTAAGTACTCTTGCACTCGGTGCTACATACCTCGCTTGTCCTTGAGAGGCAGATGCTAGTGAGTCACAGCCCCTTGAGATCCCTCACTCGTCCCTTTAGTGCTCTCCTTTACATCTCAGGCAGCTGTGACCAGAGCCCCACACCGACTATGTGTGGCACCGTCACCTGGGCTGGGGACCTGTAAAAGAGGTAAAATGGAGAAAGGCCAATGACTCTGGCGTTTTCCACTGTTCAATCACTGATTCATCAAGACATGAGGAGCCTCTGTATAAACTCCCATCACCCTGAACTTCACCATGTCTTCCATTATGGGCAGTGAGGGAAAATAAATACTGTCCGTAAGCTGCTTCTAACAAGTATTTTAACAATGAGAAAAATAACTAAAATTCCAGGGTTGACATGAAACTGTGGTGGCTTCAGTCTCATGATATGTGAGAGTGGTGACTACATCCTCACATCTGAAAGCCACCGTTCTGCTCAAAGTGTAATTTCCCCCATTGCCTCCTTTGGTACACATTCTCTGGTAGCAACCTGTGAATACACAGCAAGGATCCTATGTACTGTCCCTTGACTCAGGTCAGGGCACAAAGTGGCACCATTCAGTGACTCCAGCCTGACTCAGGGAAACGATCCTATAAATAAAAGCTTACGTACAGTGACAGAGATGTTTATAATAGGATTTTGAGATTCATTTTGTTTTTAATTATGTATATACTCACCTATGTGTGAGTATGTACATATGTATACATATAGTCAGAATCCAGAAGAGAGTGCCCAGTCCCTGGAGTCAGAGTAACAGGCATTTGTGAGTTCTTCAGCTCTGTGATTGTGCTTCTTATGACCAAGAAATGTTACCAACAAGTTAAATGTTCATTGGTGCATACACAAACAGAGTAAGAGGAACAAGATCGTGAAAACAGGTGGGGTGGTTTTGTAGATCCTTTTTGTGCTTTTTTGAGATTATAATTACATCGTTACTCACTTCCCTTTCCTCACTTCAAATCCTCCTATACACCTTGCTCTCTTTCCAATCCTTGGCCTCTCTTTTTATGATCACATGCCTACATGTGCATACAACACATGTATTCCTAAATGCAACACGCTCTGACTGTGCAGTGTTAGGTATCGGAGAGTCAGTTAATGTGCTTTTCCCTGGAGAAGACTATTGCACCCACCCTCGGCATTGCTTTGTTGCCTGCAGCAGTTTGCATAGGGTCAGGGCATCATGGGCTCCCCCACCCCCACCCCACTCCCACCCCACCCCCAACAACATTGGCATGTCTCTCATCGTTGGCCTTGTTTAGTTCATTCACACTTAGGCAGTCATATTGGTGGGTTTTTATTGGTATTGCTTCTGACATCACTAGGAAACCCAATCACACAGCAAACTCCCTGATCTGGTGGCTCTCACAATCTCTCTGCTCCCTCTTCCACAATGCTCCCTGAGCCTTAGGTGTAGAGTTGTTTTGTTGACGCACCCCTTGAGACTGGGCTCTGCATTCTGATTGGTAGTGGTTTTCTATAATGGTCTCCATTGATGAAGGGTGAGTACCACACTTACCTGTGGGTATAAAGACAAATATTTAGAATGCAGTTAGGGATTGGACTGGTTTACTTAAGTGGTGGTTGTAGGTTCTCCTCCAAGATCTGTGACTTTACTAGCTGTGCTGGGTAGCTGGCTGGGTTCCCAGTCCCAGACATAGGCACGATTTCCTTCTCTTTTGCCAAATCGGAGAGATGTTGTTTATTTATGCCTGATGCTGCTGCTCCATGAGCAGCATCACTATGGTTCATAGGCATTACAGCTGGGTAGGACTGTTGTTTGGTTCTCTCCTTTGGAAGCTTGCTTGCTGCATTCTGGTACCATGAAAGCTAGTCTTGAGCGAGGAGGCAAAATTCAGGTCAGGTCAGTTCCAGCTCTGAAGTACCTTTATCTGAAGTACACCTACATCTTTGGCAGTAAGGACTTACCTTCCATAAAACAGGGTGTTTTTGTTTTGTTTTAATTTATTGTGAGTGAGGAGGGTGAGGGTTTGCTTAGAGGCACATGTGTACATGAGCATATAGAGCCCAGAAGTCAGCCTTGAGTGTCACTCCTCACATGCTAACTACATTTTCTGTTTTTTAAAACATGCTCTCTCATCAGCCTAGACTGACTAATTAGACTAGACTGCCCACCAAACCCTAGGGACCTCAATTTTGTTAAAAAGAATCATATTGTTGAAAGTAGAAATATTGGTGGTTCATATAATTACTGATTCTTTCTACTTTTTCACGTGTTTCTAGTTGACTACATTTTTGTGTGTGTGTGTTCTTTTTTCAAGACAGGCTTTCCCTGTGTGGCACTGGCTGTCCTGTCCTAGAATTCACTTTGTAGACCAGGGCAGCCTCAAACTCAGAGATCTGTCTGTGTTTGTCTCCCAAGTGCTTGGATTAAAGGCATGCGCCACCATCTCCCAGCTTCTACTTGACTACTTCTCACATCAGATTTTAAGTTCTCTTTTAAGTCAAGTTTTAACGTTTCTATGACTTAGAATTGTATATGTAGTAGCGATATGCATGATTCACTTTTACAACCTAATAGGGTTCAGAGAAGGAAAGAGCATATGGGGAAGGGGAGGAGCAGAAAGCTGTGGCAGGAAAAACTTCTGTCAGGAAGTAGGTGAGCTAGAGAATCTGTGATCTGAAGACAAGGTGTGTGCAAAGGAATGGCAGTGGTGACAGCTCGGGCACTCTGTGCCACATGGGTTGAGATGAAAAGACCTAGTTCACGCCAGGTGCCAAGGGCTCTGAGTCCAATAACATAACTGGCATTTAATCGAGGAAATGACGTGGGAGTGAGAGGTTAGAACGGGGGGAGGGGAGGGGACAGTGTAAGCTCAGCTGTGCTTTGTTTATGCTGGGGATGCGACCCAGGGCCTTGCACATGCTAAGCACATGCTCTGCCCCCAACCCCAGAGCTATGCTTAGTAAGAATGAGTCTGGTAGGCAACCTCTACAGAAAACGCAATAAAGGTGAGACACTGTAGACTACCTGGAAAGAGGGGAAGCCATATTAAAGTGCTATGTGGCATAGTTACATCATATAACATATGGCAGCCTAGCTCCAAATGTAGGGTCCCAACACACAAGGTGGCAGCTGCATGTCCTCAAGGATGGAGTCCATATGCGTGTAAGTGTGAGCTCCACTGCCCCATGGTATTGTGTTTATTACAAACAGTCATCAAATCCTATTCAAATTTCAGAACATGGACTATAGCACCACATCCCATGAATGCCAAAACATTTGAAGATGTTTAAAAACATTCTAACTCCTTGCTGTTTAGTTTTTCTTCTTGTCATCTTCTCTTCCATTGTTCTAGTCATTCTTTCTCTCTTCTTTTGCTCCACGGCAGAGTTCCTTGAAGGGTAAAAGCCAGATAAGCTATTTAGTAACTCCACACACAGTCCTTGAGCTTCTAGCATGGGCCAGGTATTACACAGGACTCTTCCTTCAATGGCTTAAAAGAGAGCTTGTTGTCCGGTGGAGGCCTTCCCCTCAAACAGCAGGCAGTTCTGGGGGTACAGTTTGTGCCAGACTATTATAAGTCACCTAGTTATAAACTTCAACTAGTTATAATCTTTATTTGGAAAAGTAGACTTACAACAATAAAAATAGAAACGAGACTAGCGAGATCACATGACTGCAGTGGGTGCCTCTTAAAAAACTTCAAGTTTGAAAGTTGTAGTATGATTACTTTAGAAAAATAATAATGTTAAAGTCACAGAAAAGGCATTGAGTCTCCAAATAACTATTGTTCAAAGAAGGAAATTAAAGTGAAAGGGGTTTCTTCCATAAAACACAAAATTATCAACTTTCTCAACATTAAGTGAATGGTGTGGTGGACTCCAGATATAATCAATCCCTCATCTCTGCCTCTATTCCTTTAGACCTGTGAAGCTCCATATACAATTCATATTGCATCCTTATATTTTACATAGTTAAGAAATACCTTAAGGACTGTCCTGAAAGTCACAGTATTCTACCATTTTGCTGAGACATAGACACACCCGCGTGTCCCTTACTCAAGCTGACTCTAATTATTATGAAGTCATTAACCTTAGAAGAGAGGACATTCCTTGAAGGAAGAATATGAAAATATGTACACTATTATACAAATAAGCCTTATGTCCACAACAACTATCAACATTCATGGAGGCCCATGCCCTCCTGGATCTGTTTCAGGAGTAGGAAACATGTCATTCCATCTCTTACATGGGCATTCTAGACTCAGCAAAACTTTTAAATTTAAAAAATAAGATGCAGTCTATCTGCTATGGGAGGCATACGGAATATCAATCACTCTACAAAACAGAACATCTAGTTTCAGAGGTGGTTTTAACAAGCCATCTAGTCACAGACATAAGCCATATTTTCTCAGCAATAAAAAAGTACTATTTTATAACAGTCGGGTGACTCCTCCATCTACCCTCCAATTGTTTCTAAAATCATGGAAGAGATATGTGCTACCTATTGACTTTGCAAAGTCCAAATACACCAGTAAATGAAGCATTTTATTATAAATGTATTAGTTGATAACTACTTAGAAGGAAAATAGGTCCCATAAAAATAAGATTCCCAGTGCAGTAAGAGTTCATTAAAGATATTTTACTTAACTGACAATATGCAGCATCATGAGTTCATCTGAGAGCTATGTCATGAGTGAAACCAGAGGCCGGATAGCCCAGAGACTTAGAATAGAATCAAACATGACTGACTAGCAAATACATACGTGTGTGTGTGTGTGTGTGTGTGTGTGCATATGTGTGTGTGTGAATGAAATAATACCTAATGGTATTCTACTATGCACATAGATTGGAGACTAGTCATCAGAGAGGTTTTGTACATCAACTGATGGAAACAAATACAGAAATACACAGCCAAACATTAGCCAGAGCTCGGGAAATCCTGCTGAAGAGGAAGAAAGATTGTAGGAGCCAGAGAGGTCAAGGATACCACAAGAAAACCTACAGAATCAACAAACCTGGACTCATATGTTCTCCCTGAGCTTGAGCCAACAAGCAGGTAGCCTGCATGGGACTAACCTAAGCCCTCTGTATATATGATATAGTTGTGTAGCTTAGTGGTTTTGTGGGATTCCTAACAGGGAACAGGGGTTGTTTCTGACTCTTTTGCCTGCTTTTGGGACCTTTGTCCTCCTACTGGGTTGTGTTGTCCAGCCTTAATATAAGGGGAGATGCCTAGCCTTATTGTAACTTGATATGCCATGTCTGGTTGATATCCCTAGGATGCCTGCCTTCTGTGAAAGGAAAGCCAGAAGGAATGGATGGGGAGCTGGGTAGGGGCTGAGGTAAGAGGAGGAAGGGGAAACTGCAGCCTGGATGTAATAATGAGAGAATAAATTAGTAATATTTTTAAAAGAAGAGTTCTAGCTCCTACACAAATTCATTTGGTAAGCTCCATCTTCAGATTGGGTTATGTTTCCTCTGGTGAACCATCTCCAAAGCTCATCTGGCCCTGAATACTCTCTAGTTAGCTTAGAGACCTCCATGACAGATACTAACCAGCCTAGGTTAACCAGATGTTTGATGGCAGGATCACTGTTTCAATCCACTGAGGTCAAATTGTCTTGGGCTTTGCCAGGCGGTGGTGGCGCACGCCTTTAATCCCAGCACTTGGGAGGCAGAGGCAGGCGGATTTCTGAGTTTGAGAGTTCGAGGCTAGCCTGGTCTACAAAGTGAGTTCCAGGACAGCCAGGGCTACACAGAGAAACCCTGTCTCAAAAAAAACAAACCAAAACAAAAAATTGTCTTAGGCTAGCCCATATA